AAGAAATCGTTAAATAAGCTAGCCCTGTCGTCTGGTGCGACAACCAGATTTCCTAGCGTGTCCTGCAGAGGCCCCACGTTACCCAGTACCTTCTTTTTGCCCCCTATGTATTTAAAAAAGGACTTCATGTTGTCCTTGATCTGGGTAGCTAGTCCCAGTTCCATCTCCGCCTTGGCCTTCCTGACCGCCCCCCTGCAGCCCCGAGCAACTGAGGTATAGTCCTGCCTGGTGATGGCCCCTCCCTTCCATTGGGTGTACACCTCCCTTTTAGCTAGGAGACATTCCCATATGCTTTTGGTGAGCCATGGGGCTTTTGCGCCCCCTTGCCCCCTTTGATCCTTGTTGGGATTACCTTCCTTTGGGCTTGGAGGATCGTCTCCTTAAGGAACGACCACTCCACTCTTCTTCAACACCTGACTCCCCTCCCCTCCGGGACCTCAGTGCCTCCCCAACTATTCTCCTTACCTCATTGAAATCCGCCCTCCTAAAGTCCAGGGCTGCTGCCTTGGTGCAGGCTTTTGCCACCTTGCACTGGATGGTGAATTCGTGCAGGAGATGATCGCTGTCACCCAGGTGGTCGAGCACCCGCAGCCCCCTCACGAGGTCGTCGCCTGTGACCAGCACCAGATCAAACAAGGCATCTCCCCTGGTGGGACTGTGCACCTCCTGAGTTAGATGGAGGTCCTGTATCTCGACTAGGAACTTATGTGAGCGGTCAGACCTGGCTGACTGCTCTTCCCAGCAGATGTCTGGAAAATTCAGGTCACCCATGATGACCACGTCCTTTCACCTAACTACCTCCGTGAGCTGACTTAAGAATTCCCGGTCTAGCTCTTCCCCTTGGTTGGGTGGTCTGTAGTGGACCCCCACTGTTAAGTTCCTTTCCCCTCGACTCCCTTGTATTCTAACCCAGAGCACTTCAGTGTGCCCCTCCTCTGACCTTGTGCTACTAGATGAGGATGTGTATTCCTCCTTGATGTAGAGCGCCACATCCCTACCTTTCCTCCCTGTCCTGTCCCTCCTGTACAGCCTATATCCATTGGTCTCAGTCAGTATGGCACCCAGTGACAGACAGGCTGTTTATTACCTGTTGGTGCAAACCAAAGAAGGTTCTTGGTTTGTAGATTAGGCATTCCCCACATACAGTGATGTGGCAGAAGCAAAACTCTGGAGTTCAAGACCCACCTTTCAAGTAAAGCACATCTTAGTAGATGGAAGGCATTCTGTTTGCATCTTTTCTTTTGGTGCAATGGAATGATATTCCTGAATGCTATTCCATATGTTAGTCCTTCCATAAGAAAGAAAGTTAGAGGGGCTCATCTAAAATGATTCCTCCTGGAGTCCGCTACACAAGCCTCTGAAAACTGAAAGTAAAGACGCTTCTAGGTGTCATTCTTCTAGCCAGTCTCTTTCCAGGGGTGAGCCAATATTCCAGTCTCGACTCTGAAGTTATGGTGATAAAGGCAA